TCTGGCCCCATGAGCTCTGTATATTTCTTGGTACAATACATATTTCTTTTTTTCTTTTTTTTTATTATTATACTTTAAGTTCTAGGGTACATGTGCATAATGTGCAGGTTTGTTACATAAATACATATTTCTTAAATGGATAAATGGACTCATCAATCTGTAAAGAGCTAGACTGACAATTCAAAGATGTCATATAAATTTGGAAAAGAAATTTTAGCCAATTACAGAAATGTGACTCTTATCTCTATTTAATCTAGATTATTTAATCAAATTTATTTCATGTTTTCCCACCAACAAAAGAAGTTACAGGAAAAACTAAGATCTTTGCATTTGCTATTATACTTTATTGGACACAGAAATAGCAATATTGTTTATTCCTCTTTAAAATATACTCTAGCAGTTAAAGATACTGAGAACACATCTTTAAATTACTGTGACATTGATTTCTTCATATTATAAATATATTATATATTCATTATAATGTATTCTCAAGTCCTACTCATTTTTGAGGATTATTCTGAATATTACCTCAACATGTTCAGATTCATCATGGTGATTTATAAATCATCCAACATACTATAAACCTAGATATTCTAGTGGAAAAAAAAGAAAATTGTTTGATAAATAAGACTCTTACAAATTATGCTTTTTTAAATACAGAAACACATTATTTAAAAGAAAATCAAATAATTGTGTGCAATTGAATAGTTGTATGCATCTTAGGCAACAGTCAATTTCTTTTTAAAATAATTTTATTTCGACACAAATTATTTAATCTTTATTAAAAATAAGAGAAAAAAATAAATATAAACTAACTAGTAATTTGAGCTTCTTATGTTTAAAGCAACGATTAATTTGTCAACCAGATGCAACACATTGAAACTCTATGCTTCCCAAAAACATGGAAATATACTAATGACTCATATACAATGAAGAAATTGTCAAAGTATAAATTAATTCAACTCCTAAATGTTCTAATAACTGTTCCAAGTGCATTAGTTTGATTTCATGGGATACATTTTCTTTATCATTTCTCTGTTGGAACCATAAAGGTAGAAGTGTCAAGGTCAATTTTTATGTTTTTCATTTTGAAAGCATCCTTTTAAGTTTTTATGAAGAAATCAGTATAAAATAAATATAAATAGCAGATGTATAAGTGTAGATTGGGATAAATAAATCATATGAACCCCAAATAAAGTAATGCAGAAAGAACATAAGTAAGCTTATTGAAGGAGTGTTAGAATATAACTATTTGTATGCAGAAGTGGTCTGATAAATCAGTTGAAAAGACAGAGGCATTAAAACTAGATTTAGGCAATTCAGTAGAATATCAAATGTAGATGAAACAAAGTAGTTGAAGAAATAATATTTACTAAATGTGTTCTGACATTTTCTAATGAAGAAACGAGCAAGCATAAAAGAAAGAAACCTTACTATTAATCATGTATTTGAATTGGCTTTTCTTTATAAATTATTAAATCTCCTTGAATACTTCAAATGCTCTTGTTAATGAATTATTATTTTTGCATTATTTGTTTTATATTTTTCCATAATTTTTTAAATTAATATTTTGTTAGAATTGTTTTAACTTTACAAAAAAAAATGGATCAGAAAGTACAGTTACTATATACTCCCCCTACACACACACAATTTTTCTTATTAACATTTATATAGCATATTTGTTAATATTAATGAACCAATATTGATATATGATTTTAACTAAAGTCTATAGTTTATGTTAGTGTTGTGTAGTTCTACGAGTTTTGCCAGATGAATAATGTCATGTATCCACCATTACAGCATAATACAGAATATTTCTCTACTCTAAAGATTCCCTGTGCTCCACCTACTCATCTCTTCCTCTCTCTCCTCTACCCGTGTAACCACTGATCTTTTTACTGTTTCTATAGTTTTGCCTTTTCCAAAATGTCATATGGTTGAAATTACACAGTATGTAGCCTTATCAGACTGGCTTATTCCACTTAGTGATATACATTTAAAGTTCTTCCATGACTTTTCATGGCTCCTTTCTTTCTACTGCTGAATAATCTTCCATATTCTGGGTATACCACAGTTTGTTTCTCCATTCACTTATGATGGAATATGTTGGTTGGTTCAAATTTTTGTGAATCACTTTTAGAATATGAGACTATACTTGCACAGCCAAATCATTTATTGCCCCAGGAGTTACCACAGGATAGAACTCTTTGAGAATCTGAAGTAATCTTTCTTTTGTTTTTATTCTACTTATCTCTTTTCTCTTGCATGAAATTCAAAGGTAAAAAAAAAAATTCTGTTAAGTAGGCATCTCACTTTAAGTAACCTTAAAATAGTGCTTCTTAAATGATGCTCCTTGTAGCGTCTACATTAGAGTCATCAGAGTAACTTGTTAAAGCTCAGATTCCTGGACTCTACTCTTGATCTACTGAATCAGAATTTCTGGGGATGGAGCCCAGGTTTCTATTTTTTTAAACAAAGCTCCTCATGTTGCCTATCCTCACTAAAGTTTGAAAGCAGACTGCTTTTGTAATCAAGTTGTGTTTTTGATAATGTATGATATAACATGCTTTCTCCACTTTTGGACGTCTCAAGACTGGGGAGAGTAAGATTCAAGTTAGAGTATGTGGCCAACTCTTTATTAGAAAGAAGTAATTTTTACAGAAATGTACTGAGTATCAGGGAAAATATTTTTTGATTCTATGTTGTTTCTTTCCAACATTCTTTGGAAAAGGAATGCAAGGATATTATCCTGGACCATTTACTTTTTCCAGCATTTCTTCATCAGGCTGAAGGTACCCAGAAAAAATTACTCTAGTACCTCAAACCATTACCTAGATCCAAATTCTTAAGAAGGGCTTATCGATAAAGATTGTTTCTTTCAAACCAGGAAACAGTTATAGTTCAATAATGGTTAATATTTTGGGTAATATTTTGAGTAATTTTCTGCATTTCTTATATTGCTATCCTTCCATTTTTTTTCCAGCAAAATGTATTGCGTTAGAATGTGGGGGAGTTCAGCTGAGTTCCTGATTGGATTTTCAAACTCGTAGCAGAAATCACACCTTTGAAAGCCAAAACTTTCATTTGTAAAATGGCTTTTTAAGAGAATAAAAGTATTCTTGAAAAGCAAAAGGAAAAATTCTAAAAAGCAGTACATCAGACTTGTGTCCCAAGCAGGAAATTAGAAACACAATGGAAGATGATATAAGAGCTAATTTTTCCTCCATATGTAGAAAAGATACATGTACACACAAACACACACACACACACATTGATGGAAGATCTGAGATATTAGAGACAAATAAGAAAAGAGATGAAGAAAAATATAGTTGTCCTCTAGAAGGCTCCCATCTTTGTCCCTCTGGATTCAGAGTATAGAAACCATGACTATTTTAAGAAACCAAGAGGAGAAAGAGCTGGTGCATTATTTCCCAAGGTAAAGCCCTGGGAGATTGCAAGCCTTTTAAAGAAGGCTATCCAGTATGGTCTTCAAGATAAGGAAGAAAGAAGAGATTAAGCAGGAAGGTCCCTGAACAAAACAAAGACTTTCCAAACTGAGAAAATGGGGGTCACATAAGTGCTTAGAGAAAGCTGGTGGAACTGAAGATGTCTGGCCTTCAAACAAGGAGAATGTAGAGTGTATGGACCAAGCTAACTAGATGCCACTGCAGTACAGCAAGTATTAACAGCTGTGGTAGGCATGTACTGATAAAAAGGGAAAAGGAGAATACGTCCAGGTGAGGACAAAGTGTCTATGAAGCCAGATACCTGATGCGCCAACTGTATCTTATCAGTCTGGAAGCCTTACCTCTGAAACTTTGGTTACTTTTGCTGAGCAAAAGATGTGCTGAATCCTAACTTTGCCTAAGTATTTATTCAAAAAGAAAGTTGTTTGAACATTTAACTATAGAAAATATGAAATCCATATCTGTTAAGTTAAAGCTATATCCTCTGGATGTGAATCTGAAGATTAAAATTTATACTTTCTAGGTATAAGAAGATTATCTGAAATAAATATACAGTGAAAAATTTAATGTTTTCTTTCTGAGTTTCCCGTTTATTCTCCATCATAGCCTGGGTTCTTTATATCAGTAGAAATATGCATACAATATGCACACAAAGAGAAATGTCCCCATAAAGTAAATGGAAGGTGCATGAAAGAGAAATTCTGAAAGACAAATCAATAATATCTAGCTTGGATGTTAGAGTCACATGGTCATAATTGATTCCAGACTTCCAGCGTACTAGCAACTCTGTGTTTTCTCATCCATAATTTGTGAATAATATCTACCTAGCAGCACTGCATGAGATTAAATAATGAAATATATGTAAAGAACTTAGACTAGGGTCTGACACATAGCAAATGCTCAATCTTCTTAATTATATTGTTCTTGTCATTTATTATTTTATGAATTGCTATTTGTAGAACTTAATGTCTTAGATTCTTATCTATGATTCTTATGGTCAGAATATTCAACAACAATATAAATCTTGGTCTATGTTGAGAATTTCTTCATACAAACATAATTATGTAGCTCTTATATAGGCCAAATTTACATTCATTTCTATTAGTTATATGCCAGAGATTATGAGTTTTTATTATTTATTTATTTATGTAGACACATTCTATTACTACTCTTTACCAACTGCCATTATTTTGGCTTAGGAGAAAATGATCTTGAAAGAAGGTCTGGGTAGTTTTAATAGCTCTTTTGTGAACTTCAGATGTAACTGAATAACTTTCTAGATTTATCTGTTAAATAAATGGTCCATGAAAGTATGTACGGGTAGATAATTGATGGAAGCAAATAATCCTATTGAAACATTTGCTATTTATTTTTGATACAGTTCTTTTAAACAGACTGATTAGTTCCCTTTATGATTTCACCCTTGAAAGCACACACGATTTTGTTCTTTGTCATTGTTGCATGACATTCCATTTGGCAGTTGGGCTTATTTTTAGCCAGACTATCAAAGTATTTTTCAACTGGGCTGTCACTGCACTTGAACTTGGAATCTTATAACTTGAAGAACTGCCCTGGAGAAAAGAAGAAACTTATAATAAATGGGAAATTATAAATCTAGACCAACCCAAACTTGTACTGGTAATTATTCTAATTATTCTTATTTCCTTAAATGTAACATGGTTCAATTACAGTTACTGATAACTAACAACTCATTGGAATATGTGTTAATTTGTATACAGAAGATAAGGCAGCATGTTATGTGAAAGTCTTTGAAAAACTATCTGAACTCAAATTTTTTTTTCTGAAGATCTTTATAGGAAACAATAAATTTCTTACAAAAATATTACTTTAGTTCCTTGGTATAATGTTACAGAAAAAAACTTGGAATAATGCTGAATGTAGGGATTTTAGAATTATATCTTCAGTATCTAGTATTTAAAACCTAAAAACCGTCTTGCAACTAGAGATTGCTGTAATTAAAATGCAATAAAATCAAATGAAATAAGTCAAATATATTTTTCTATGTAAATCTATTATCCAATAACAAATGGATTCTTAATTACTACAATTCAATATGATTGCATTTTAAATATAAACATCTGCATTTTAAACTCACAATCAGTAATTTAAATTAAGTATTGTAGATTCTAGAATAAAAACAGTTTTGATTACTTGTGTATTATGATCTGTGTCTACATTTTGCAAAACACAACTATAAATCCATCTCATTTGTTCTTCTTTACTAGATGAATGGAAGAAAAAAGTCAGTGAATCATACGTTATCACAATAGAAAGATTAGAAGATGACCTGCAGATCAAGGAAAAAGAACTGACAGAACTAAGGCATATATTTAGGTAAAGTTGTAAGAGTTATTTCTTTGTATAAGTGTCTATAGTATTCACCTTATTTTTAAAAGTATCTGTGTATTTTTTAAACCTGTAGAACCTCAGACAAAAGCAGTCATGTTCTAAGCCTTAGGATGTCAGATTATCTCTTTCTGACCACTCATATCACTCTCAAAATGTAAACATAATGTCTCACCTCCTTAAAAATATGACTTGTAATATGCCATCATTAAAGTTTAAAAATAAGAACCTAAGGGCTAGCCTTTGAATGCAAGCTATTGTTGATCTCAATAATCTTCTCTGGAATTAGATCATTCTTGTAAACCATGCCAGCAATGAAAAGCAAGATTTTTCTTCCCACATAGTGGTTGCATATTGGCCACATTGTTCTCTTTGAACTATGACGGTAAGTCCAATTTTAACAAAGCCTCTGGTCTCTTGACATTGAAAGGCTGTCCCTTAATGGAACTGAGTATCATTCTGCCCCTGAACAATCATAAAACAACATATAATATTGCCTTCAGGATTTCAGTAGGTTTTGTTCCATGGTAACAAGAGAAAAATAATCTAAGACAGTGTCACAACCTTGGAGGACACAAAATGTTCAGAAAAGAGGAGCAAGACCCTTATATACACAAAAAGCCTTCTGGTTAAATTGAATCTGACATTGAGAAACTAGGTGCCCATTAGAGGGTCAAGAAAGTTACCTGCCTGCCTAAGGAAAAGTTCCACATATGCCAATTAGTCATGTTCATTTACAGCTGTGTTACGTAATGCACTCATCACTCCCTCTATTTTACTTAGGAAACAAGTGTGAAGCAATGACCAAATGTCATATCTTTAAAACAAAATTTTAGATACCGTAAACATATAAATATCACATAACTGGCAAATAAAATCATCCATGTATAATATAGTTTATATGAAATTTGTCAGTGGATTTAACAAGGCTTTCACAAGTGTTCAACTTATGGTTCAAAAAATAATTGATTCTCTCTATAGTTTGGCCCAAGATGATGAACTCAACAGTGACACTTGTGATGAGATACCACTGATCTGACTTTTGCAAGTAGTATCACATGCTGAGATATGGAACAACATTTGAAATTCCTATAGAAATATAACTGGTACATTAGTATAGGAGAATTATAAGTATGTATGTGTTTTGTTGGAAAAATATGAATATAGAACTTAATCATAAACATCCAGCTCTTATTGACTTAAATAAATATGCTAAAGAAATGTGATTACATTGAAGAAATTTTCCTCAACTTTTAAAGGTCAAAGCCTCAGTTATTTAGTATTTTTTTTAATTTAGAAAGTATTGCACAAATAAGTCAAGGTTAGCTTAAACTAGATGTATCCAAACCTGAATATTAGGCTTAACAATGGATTTAAGATGAAAGGTTCTTTCTCATACCACATCAACAACTACAACCTGTCTTGACAACTGCCATAATGGACTTTTCCTATGTTTCTACTAAATGCAACAAATGTGACCTGTTTTCTCATTAGCATTGGGAGTGAGAGGCAGAAATCTGTGTCAGGCAGCTTACAGTCCAGAATTTGTTCAGTGCCAGCTCATATTCAAGTGTTGTTCCAGATACATCAAATACAAGACATTATTTATCTATCATATGTAGATTGTTGTCATTTCATGTGTGCCCAATAATATTAACTCTAGTGGATGATAAACTAAGGATTAGAGACAAGGCATTGGGAGTTGTCAAATCACATGGTCAGTAAATTTTGGAATGTGACTTATGTCAAGGTCTGCCCGACTCCATAGATAGTGCTCTTCCTACTATACCCTGCTTACAAAAACAAGATTTAGGACCTGATGTATTCATTGATTTTTTGAATCATTATAGATAAAAAGCATAGTTAAGTAAAGGTGTGTAGGCAACAATGAATGAATACCATATAAAGTTTAGGAAAAGTGAGAAAAAATAATGTCTTGACCATATTATCTGAGTTGAGTAAGAAAGCTATGCGAATCAGTGTAAGAATTTTGGAGTCATACAAACATGGTTTTAAATACAGCTTCCTCTATTTATAAGCTGTATGTCCATGGATATGTTTTTTAATCTCCTTAATCCTCATTTCCATCTATAAAATGAGGTGAATAATAATTACCTCACAGGACATTTTCAAAATGAGGTAAATTAAATACTAAGTACAGGGCCCAACACATAGTAAGCATTGAATAATTAGAAATTTATATTATCATGATTGATTAGATAAATAACGACAATTTAAAGAACAGAAGCCTTTATCATAAAGTTAGAGTAACAAATAGCTTATTAAAAGTTAGAAAGAATGAAAGTTTTTATGAAGAGGACTATTTCAAAATTAAAATGTAAAGTATTAGCACAGTTTAGGATGATTCCAAAATCTGAAATGTAGCTTTTAATGATTTTGATTGAAAGGTATTTGAAGAATTTTGAGACTAGAGTATTAGAAGGCTCATCAAAATGGCTATCAAATTTACTGAGGATAACGGTTAGACATTTTTGGAGAGAAAGACCAATAACCTGGTCGTGATGACATTAAAGAAGCTACAGAATGTGATGATAAGGAAGTTGAGGAGAGGATTATCCAGTCTAGAATGATGTTTCTGCAAGAACTAGGGGCCTCTTATGTTAATGGAGATGGAGACTGTAGTACTTGCCAAAATTTTAGATTCCATGACTCCACCCTTTATCAAATGAATCAGAATCTCTGGAGATGTCTTCCAAGAACCTGAATGTTTAACAAACTCCCCAGATAAAACTATGCATAATAAAAGTGATACTTCTAAAGTTTGAAAACTATACTTCTAGAAAGATATCCAAGTTGCACTGAGTACTCTTTACCTGAGGTGATATTAGTGAAGGGATGAGGAATATGGGAACAGAAAGAAAGCAACTGATATGGTCTACAGAGAGTCAAGAGAACCAAAAAACAAACAAGCAAAAACAGAATAATATGCTTTTGTCTGATTTCATCAAGGTAGATAGCATAATCTGGGACAGAAAAGTCAATTGCTTCCAGGGCAGAGTTCTAAGTGTTTTCTTTTCTTTGGAATAAAATGATGGATGAAAGAAAGAAAAGAATAGTGTGCTGAGAATATAAATTGTCTTACTTACTCATTCACCAAATTTTAAAGGTAGTTGGGAAGATCAAACATAACGTTGTATGAAATGACATTTAAATGAGTATCTAGAGCATTATAGCTGCTGAATAAATGTTAGAATCTCATTACTCACCCTTATTTATTTCTCTTATAATATAAAGAGCATTTCTATGATAAGCGATTATGTTATGTTGCCTGACATCAGCCTTTCTCTAAACATTTAGATAGCAAGGAGACTGTATACAATGCCCAAAATGGAACGTTGAACATTAACACTAGCGTCAAAGGTAAAGGATCACTGATGTAAACAGAGTTTTTCATTTGCTAACCAATTTCTTTATGACATTCTTGGTAGATGCTAATTTCTTCATTATAAGATATTTTTCACCACATAATACACCATTGCTCTATTAGCTCGAATACACAATCTTCCTGACATAGCTTTTACCCACAATATAATAAACAGCAATATAGAACTAAATGTAAGACAGAAAGAGCTAAATAATTATCCTGCTTATGCCAATTTATAGCAGCTTTGGAATGGCAGCTTGATATGGGAAAGAAGGGAAATGGAAACGGAATGTACTTTCATCTTCTGCTGTAAAGTTGCTACTCACTCACGACTTTGGACATTTGTTTAGGTAATGGATTGGTGGCAGGAAGAGATGAAGAAAAAGAGAAGGCAGGAGGAGAAGGAAAGACAGAAAAGGGCACCTTAGAGTACCATTGTCTGATTATATCCTCCTCGGTGCTGCCTCTAATCTTTATCAACATAATAACACTTACTACATGGTGGTGTTCTTATCCATTTATAGGTCTATCTCCCCACTAGTATATGTGTTCACTAAAGGCAGCGTTTTTTTCTTATTTAACCTTATTTATATTTGTATTTATTTGTGAAACAAACTAATAACTTAGTGCTTACCATATGCCAGAAATGCTTCTCTATATCTTTTTGTGCATCAGCTTATATAATCCTAATGGTGTATATGTAAAGTGCTTTAGCACAGTGTCTGACACATGGCCAAACCTCAGAAATGTTTATTAACACTTAATCATTATTGTTTATGTTAACATCCCTCTGAAGTAAGTGTTGCAATTGCCATGTTATACCTGGAGAAAATGAGGCTAATCAAATTAAACTGGCTTGAACTAGATTAAACAATTTGTATGATTTACCTAGGATTACACCCATCTTTATTTGATTTAAAAATGTATCATATTAATAATCTTGGTTATGAATATTATACAACCTTTTTGAAAAGATTATGGAAGTGATGGCTCTCCATATGTGACTTAAAACGTTTTCATTTAAATTATTTTGTTTCAATAGTTTTTATCATAATAAATGTTAAGACTATGTTTTGCTAATTTCATTGTCAGGCCAACTTTGTGTCTGCTTAATCTATAATATAATATGTAAAACTATGAGAATATTCCCGAAAAGTTATAATTTTCTTTTTCTTTTTTGAAACGGAGTCTCGCTCTGTTGCCCAGGCTGGATTGCAGCTGCGCGATCTCAGCTCATTGCAAGCTCCGCCTCCTAGGTTCATGCCATTCTCCGACCTCAGCTTCCCAAGTAGAGCAGCTGCGACTACAGGCGCCCGCCACCAGGCCCGGCTAATTTTTTTGTATTTTTGGTAGAAACGGGGTTTCACCGTGTTGGCCAGGATGTTCTCAATCTCCTGACCTCCTGATCCGCTCTCCTTGGCCTCCCAAAGTGCTGGGATTACAGGCATGGGCCACCGCGGCCGGCCCAGAAAAGTCATAATTTTTAAACACTGTGACATCAACATAATCCAAAACAACCTGTATTTTTTTGGCATTGGGTAGATACATCTTGGTCAGTAATTACAGTGCTTCACTTTAAAACTGACTGGGTTTAATTATGTAC